GAGTTTGTGGGGACCCAGGAGAGCAAACTGGTAGACAGTGAGGAGTCAGACACTGATGCTGAAGAAGATGGAGGTGAGCCCCAACTGCATGCACAGCTGCACCTTCCTTCACAGCCTCCTGCGCTCTGCATACCAACTCCCTCTCCCATCTCTTTCTCTTATTTGAGGCTATGACAGTGACGTGGCTCGAGAGAAGGCTGTTGACTACACCACCAAGATCTATGCTGTGAGCATCAGGGAGATGGAAGGCACCAAGCCACACCAGCAACTGAAAGAAGTTTCAGTGGAGGAAAGGTATGATGGCACCAGGTTTGTCTGCATTTATGATACCTGATGACAAGAAGCTCATTTCAAGTACAATGCATTTCCTATGCCCTCAATGTCACTGAGCTAGTCTTTAATGTATATGCACAATCTTCACCTGCATACAGCCTTATACTGGGGCAACTGCCCACTGGTCTCTCTGTGTGTGGCAAAGGGTAGATCCCACTTGGCAGATGTTGGTTATGGAAAATGCTTGAATAGACATGAGATTTGGTTAGATCAGGCTTCCTCTTGCCCAGAGAGGATATTGGAATACCCAAAAACTATCCTGAACCTGATGGCTGACAAGAGAGTGCACGACTGAAATAGTAGGACAGTAGACTCCTGAGGCCTGGAGGAGTAGTTGTGGATTGTGAAAAGTAGTCTTCCATTGTAACCAGAGTCCATGTTACATGCAGCACTTGGTGTACCTTCTCTTACTGTATCTTTTCCTACCCAGATTTGTTCATATGGGTGGGTTTGGGGGTTCCAGGCTTACCCAATTTGATTTTGTTTCCTTGGATCCTATATATAGAAAGAAAGGTTCTTTCTTTCTTATTTTAAATGTGCCATTGTAAGAATTGACATGATAGAGAAATTTTCAAACACTTAAACATTTTGGGGGAAAAAATTCAGAATTACTACATTTACTTAATTTACCGTATTCATAGTAGGGAGGATATTTAATGAATAAAAACTAACATGGTAAGAGAATTTTATAGATCTTAAAGATGTTTTCAGAATTCTCTGTGGGCTCTTCAGATTGACCTGGATTCAGTGTTCTTAAGTACCCTGGTGCCATGTATAATTCATGAGATTCAAATTGTTTTTTCATCATGGCTTTCAGCCTAATAACTATTTAATATATCTAATGTATTACCTCTTACAAAGAAACATCATTCCCCCTCCTGTTTCAGTACTATGCTAGATGTTAAAATCATGTTTCATAAATGGTGGGTGTGCTGTGGGCAAGAGGACTGTATCTGATGTGAAAATCCCTAATGCTACCTGCCATCTTTCTTAGATGTTAATGTGAAGGTTCAGAATTCTCTTTTGATTAAAAAAAAAAGTAGAGATTTTACCATAATAGTCTATAATGTAGAGGATTTTGCTTGCAACATGGTATTTTAATGGCCACAAAGAAGAAATCATTTTAAATGACCAAATTCTTAAAAAAAAAAGGGAAAATGAAAGGGTCATATGCACAAGAGTGCATGAATAAGCCTCCCCCTTGAATGATCCATTCTGAAAAGGACATTTGGCCTAAATTAAACTGCAGCTGCTTTCTAACCTGAACTCGGGCTCGCCCAAACCTTTACTAGTCTTGGTGTCTCTCTGGGCAGGTCTGTAAAAATTCCATGTGTGCTCAATGTAGGAAGAGGTGGTAATGTCAAGAGTAGAGAGAACCATACACTTTTCAGAATTTAAATTTTAAAATTAAATTATTTAAAGTTTTTTTAAAATTAAAAGCTACAGGGCCTCCCCAGTGGCACAGCAGGTTGAGCGCAGCACTGTGAAACTGGCCGCAGCCTCTGAAGCGAGGGTTTGATTCCTGGCCAACCAGGGAGATACCCACATGGTGCAGCAGACCTCTCCTGTCTTGCCCGCTGCTCTCCTCAGCAGTGTATTTCCATCTGTCTGCCTGTTCTGCTCCCCCCTCTGGTCTCTGATGAATCCTCTCACCCTCTCACACCTGTGGTCTGTACCCCCAGCTCTTGTATAAAAATAAATAAATCTTTTTAAAAAAGATTTAAAAAATTAAAAGCTACCTCATTTTCTTCATTATGCCACACTGGGAACCTGCTCTCCATGAGCTTGTGCAGGAGCAACTATTTCTTACACAAAAGAAAAATGGGCTCGCTCTGTCGCTCGCCTCCTGGCTTCACAGCTCCTGGCTTGCGGCCAGCTCTCAGAGTGCCATTTGAGATTCCTGATCAGTGGATCGGGGAGGCCCCTGCAACAAATGCTAAAATTAAAAAGCAAAAGCAAAGATGCAATTCAACCAGAATGATATGATCAGAAACAAAAGCAAAAAAGTCTTGAGGAGGTTCTGAAAATTTTCTTGGAATACTCTATAACAAGGGAATGCAAGCAGATACTTCCATAGTCAGTCTCTAACTATACTCTTAAGACTCTTTCCAGTTTCATTACTTGATGGTAATGAACACTGAGAACTTGGAAGTCTCCTGTTGAAGATGGCAGCACTCCAAGATGGAGGAGGCCTGGATATGTCTATTAGCACTGCTTTGAGAAACATCAATAAGAAACATCTACTTGAAGTATTAATGCAGCTGAAAGTTGGTGCCATATTTATGATACAATCTGCACTGTTTTTCATCTGAAACCATCTACCACTTTTCTATTCTATGAAAGCTCTGGTTCATAAGGTTGCATCTCAGGGGCTCATACAAACAAGCAGAAGCCAGGGCATTATGACCCTATCAGGAGTGCCATGAGCCATCACACAGGCAGCAGCAGTCCAGACCCATGACAAGGACTATAGATCAGAGGGTAGACGAGGTTGAGCTTATTTGAGGAACAATTCCAAAGTCAGGGGTCCAAGCACCTTGAAGAGCTGGTCATTTGAAAGGGACTTTCTGCATTAAAAGGAAAAAGGAGTTTTGTTGGAGAAAGGAGTCAACTCTGAGCCCTGAAAGATGACCTGAATGAATTCCACCCCATTGACAGCAGAAGAGGTCTCAGGCACTGAGGGTTACAACTCCCAACACGCCATGAATCTGACTTCCTAAATGGGGTTGGCTGCTCGGAACTAAAGTTGGAATTAAGCAGCCATGCTTGGCTGATAACTGAACACTTGCAGGCTCAGGAGTTCTTGCTTTTCTGATTCTTAGTTTCATGAGGGACATGTGGAGAGCCTGTCCTTGGCAAAGAGAACAACAGCTGTTATCTTGATGTGTACAATGATGATGCATTATTTTTCCTTTTTCTGTCCCAGTTCACTGAAACCAAGCTAGTCCCTTTCTTGTCATTCCCTGCCAGAGGAAACCTTAGATTGTAGCAAGTCTTTGGGCTTCATTGGCCTTTCTTTGTGGTAACTTGTTTGTCTGGGTATTTGCCCATAAGGGGATATGCAATTTAGGGGTTTTACTGAGAAACTCAAAATATCCTTTCCTCTATGTATATATTAATTCCACTAAAGACCTTTCATAATAAAAAAGAAAGAAAGAAAAATGGTTATAAGATATAGGGATAGACTTTTCAGTACTGATTTTTTAAAAAATAACTCAATAGGGTAGAGTGAGGGGAAAAAAGAGTGAAGAAAACAATTTTAAGATAAATATAGAGCCTTGAGGAATAATGAAGTCTTTTCTGTAGAGAACAACATCCTTGATAACTTAATAAGCCTCAAAGCATCAGCTCCAGAGAGGCTGTAACCAGAGAGCTGGATGCCAGCCGCACGGCGCTCCGGGCGGCGCAAAGCTGGGCCATGACAGGAAGGGGCAGTAAATGGGCCTGAGATAGTAGCCTCCGGGGAGTCAAATTCTAAATAGAACAAAGGAAGTTCAAGCCTCGGAGATAGGATTGTAGGTAATTTCTGGACTGCAGAAGAGAGGGAACAGAGTGGCAAACAAGGTGAGGCGTTGGGAGAATTTGTGCGAATGCAGCATGAGAGCACAAAGGTGCGGCAGGGAGAGCTCTTGTCAATAAGCCGGCCAGAGAGCACAACTGAGTCCTCAGCTGAGGGACAAAAGGGCCACTGTGGACTCCAGCATCCTGGATATGTGAGCACAGCAGAGACGGGTGCCACAGACAATGGCACAGGACAGGCAGCACTCGCTTCTCCCTGGGAATATTCACTGCTGTCAGTCAGCCCCGGCTTCTTCAGACTCTACATTTTCAAGAGGCTCTCCAGGCCCTTCCCTTCCTTGTTCCTTCGTGTGTGTGTGTGTGTGTGTGTGTGTGTGTGTGTGTGTGTGTGCATTTACAGATGCTTGCATTTGCCTGGGTGTCTTTTCTAAATGCCTGGGCTCAGAGGTGCACCAAAAGGGGTCAGGAGAAATGAATGCTTGAGGACCTGGAGAGATAAGCGCTCAGCGCATGAGTTCTGTACAAGGACCGGTTTTGCCACTTGCCATTGCATCTCGCAGTGCTTTGGGTTTCCTTCCCTTCCCACCTTGGAAAGGGTGGGATGAGTGCAGAATATGTCAAAATGAGAACAGTACTGTGAAGCAGCTGCACAAGAAGCATCACTCGTTTTTTTAAGCAACTGAACTCCTAATTCCTAAAATTTAAGATAGTCATATATTGCTTTTAATTACACCTGGATATTTGATTTTAAAATAGCTGTGAAGCTCTGGATTGTGCTTCTTTGTGCAATTTATAGCGCATTGTGAGTTCTTGTTCTTTAGAAGTCATAAAATCCTCAGTTCCATGTCTTTTCAGGCGGGGGAAAGCTAAGAGAAATGTGTGACTGTTCTCAAAAGAATACTAGACTGTACCTTCCCATATATGGTCCCTTAGAGGTGTCTGTGGAGTCACCTAGCCACCCATATCAGCTTAGCCTCCATGACTTAGCTGGACTGTCTTATATTCCCACTCTTAGGTGAACCTTGGGTGACCCTGCTGCACAATTGCCCTGTGTGGCATCCAGCTGAGGAAAATCCTGAGGTCTTTTCTGATTCAGGAATCCACACTTTCAGACCTTTGTCTAAACACGCAGGGCCACCCCACAGGGCTCTTCTTCATCCCCAGCTGACTCCATCTAATTCTGGTCTAGGGAAACCTTTCCAGGCAAGCCTCTCCCAGGCACCCAGATCCCAGCTCCAGAGACCTGCCCCATTGCTCTCACCCTCTAACCTTGCATCCTGCTTAGCTATGCTTTCTTGTAAGGTAATGGATGGCTATTCATTTGCAAACTTAAATTTATTGTGTGATAATTACAATGTCAGGACATTTCTTTTGAGAAAAGAAAAAAAATGAGGGAGTAAATTATTTTTCAAAACAGTTTAAGGTACAACATGTTTACCACC